TAGATAGATAGATAGATAGATAGATAGATAGATAGATAGATAGATAGATAGATAGATAGATAGATAGATAGATAGATAGATGATAGATAGATAGATAATAAAGTGAATATTTTAAAATAACGACATGCTCATGGAGCTCACCACCTATTGAGGAAAAACTAAAGAAAAACAGACATTCCTCCTGGAGAGAATGGAGGTAGGTGGGAATGGAAGGGGGTCCCTTCCCTCTCCCGATATCAAAATCTGTAGATCCTCAAACCTTACGTAAAATGCAGTACTGAAATTGGACATGGTAGACCATGCCTGTGATCGTAGCTTTTGGACAAAAGAATGGAGAGGAATCAGAAGTTCAAGTCCAGCCTGGGTTACATGAGATCCTGTTAGCAAACAAGTGCAAACCTGGGTTTAAGGCCACATGCCTGTAATCCCAGCACTCAGGAGGCTGAGGCAGGAGAATTACTATGAGTTAGATTCTGCCTCTTAACAAACAGGCCAGGCTTTACTTATGTAGAAAAATGCCATGTGCATTATTTTTAGTGCCAGTTTACAAGAAATAGTGACCAAGGGAAGACCTATCAACCCAAATTCACCAGCTACTTTAAAGGTACTAGTTTGACACAGACTTTTTTTAAAGGCTGCCTCAAATTAACTATGCTTTTGTTCTTACAAAAATGACAATCACAATATACAAATGAAAACATGTTCACCCTTACTAGCTGTCAGAGAAATTGCAGATCAAAATTACATTCAGATTCCATCCCACCCCAATAAGAATGGCAGTTGTCTAGAAAACAACACATGCTGGTGAGTTTGTGGACAATGGGGGGACTCATACACACCGTGGGAGGGAATTACAAACTAGTGCAGCCACTCTGGAAGTCCATATGGGGGTTCTTGAAACAACTAAAAATAGATCTACCAAAACAAACAAACAAACAGGCCAGGTCATACATGCCTTTAATTCTAGCATTTGCGAGTCAGAGGCAGGTGGATATCTGAATTCTAGGCCGGTCTGGTCTTTATATTGATTTCCAGGCCAGCCAAGGCTTCATAGTGACCCTGTCTCAAAACAAACAGGGACTTAAGATATGGCTCAGTAAAGCCCAGCAAGTGTAAGTGTTGTGGGGTATTCACCAGAGAAGACTGCTTGGATATGGGTTTAAGCCAAAAGAAAGTATTAGCTGGCCAGCAACTACACTGGGTGCTTGGGATCCCAGCTCAGCCCCAAGCCTTTCTCAGGGTGAGCTTTTAAGCACAGAAACCATGTTCTGGCTTGTGTGTTTGGCCCTGTGTAATTAATGGGTTGACATACTTCCGTTAACAAGAACAGTTAGCCAGAAGCAGAACTACAGAAGCTAAGAAGCAAGGTTAGTACATTTTGAGACTTTCCCAGGACTATATGGACTTTCATAGATCAGACCTTTGTTTTAGTTTTACAGGTGGTGCTGTCTACATGCTGAGCCCTACAGCCTGAACGGTACTTCCCGCATGGAGTTAGGTGTGCTAAGGTCTGGGACCCTGTTACAGAAGGATCTGAGTTTGCTCTCTATAGCCCTGTAAAACAAACAAACAAACCAAACACTGAGCTTATATCGTACAGATTTGTAATCCCAGCACTGAGGAGGTAGAGACCGAAGGATCCCTGGCCACTGCTTACAAGACTGGCACCAGAGGTTGTCCTCTGACCTCCACCAATGGGATGTGACCTTGACGAGCACATATACATGTCACACACAATATTTTAAATGTTAACACTTCCCCCAACCAATGCTTAGGAAAGTAACCCTAATTAAATGCACAGGAGACATGAAAGTTGGATGGGGTTTGTTGGGCGGAAGAGGTCTGTTGGGAGGAGAAAGGGATAAAAGAGGATAATGGGGGCTGGAGAATATGATCAAATTACATTATATATATATGTATGAAATTGTCTAAGAATAAATAAATTAGAAATACATAATTTTCCAGGCAGTGGTGGCACAGCCCTTTAATCCCAGCACTCGGGAGGCAGAGAAAGATGGATCTCTGTGAGTTTGAAGCCAGCCTGGTCTACGGAGTGAGATCCAGGACAGGCACCAAAGCTACATAGAGAAACTCTGTCTCAAAGGGGAAAAAAAGAAAAGAAAAAAAAAAAAAAAAAAACAAGGACTGGAGAGATGGTTCAGTGGTTAAGAGCACTAGCTGTTCTTCCAAAAGTCCTGAGTTCAATTCCCAGCAACCACATGTGACTCACATCTTTTGTGGGATGTGATGCCCTCTTCTGGCATAAAGGTGTACATGAAGACAGATTAAAACAAAAAACAAAAAACAAGCAAACAAAATACAATTTGCAAAGTAGTTGTATATGTGGCTCAGCTAATAGAGTAATTTTTTTTTATTTTTTGGTTTTTCAAGACAGGGTTTCTCTGTGGTAGCTTTGCACCTTTCCTGGAACTCACTTTTGTAGCCCAGGCTGGCCTCGAACTCAGAGATCCGCCTGTCTCTGCATCCCAAGTGCTAGGATTAAAGGTGTGCGCCACCACCACCCGGCTGGAGTAATTTGTTTAACATACTGGAACACACCTGCAGTCCCAACACTTTGTACATTCAACAAAGTGAAGAGAATTAGAAGTTCAAGGCCACTGTCAACTACATACACAGAGTTTCAGTCCGGCTAGTGAGAAGGCTCAGTGAATAAAGGCACCTGCCACCAAGATTGGTAGCTTGAGTTTTAATCAGCAGGACCTAAATAGTGAAAGGAGAGAACCGGCTCCTCAAATTTGTTCTCCAACCTGTGATAACGTGCACGTGCACGTGCAAGCATGCACACAAATAAATAAATAAAACAAGTGTAATAAAACAATTTTAAAGGCCTGGTGCACACCTTTAATCCTAGTACTCAGGAGACAGAGGCAGGCAGATCTCTGAGTTTCAGGACAGCCAGGGATACACAGAGAAATCCTGTCTCTCAAAAAAAAAAAAAAAGCAAAATAAATACATGATTTATTTGGTTATTTGGCGGGAGGGTTGCCTCCCCAGTGTTGGGATTAAAGGTGTGTGCCACCACCGCCCAGCAAATAAAATATTTTTTAAAAGGATAGAGCTACCATGATGGTTAATTTCTGTTGTCTGCCTGACAAGATGAGAGTATCACCTAGGAGACAAACCTGACATGTTAGCGAGGGTTTTCCGGCTTAGGTGGATTGTGAGCAGCGTCACCCCACCATCCCAGCCTGGAGAAAACACGCTGAGCATCAGCACTCATCCCTCTGCTTTCTGAGGGCAGGTGCCAGGTGACCAGCAACCATACACTTCTGCTTCCAAACCTGCCCCTCCACAATGGACTGTCGCCTCAAGTGTGGGTCAGAATAAACCCTTCCATCCATAAACTGCTTTTGTTAGGTGGCCTGTTACAACGAAGAGGAAAATAGCTACCGTGGAAATGGGAGTACCAATAGATCCTTGAGATGCTGTGTTGGTTTCCTTTGCATATTACCCACACACTCACCCCCACCCCGGAGACAAGGGTTGTTGGTGGCTGTTTTTTTATTTTATTTTATTTTATTTTATTTTATTTATGTATTTATGTATTTATGTATTTATTTATTTATTTATTTATTTATTTATTTATTTATTTATTTGGTTTTTTCCCTTGGTTTTTCGAGACAGGGTTTCTCTGTGTTGCTTTGCGCCTGTCCTGGAACTCACTCTGTAGCCCAGGCTG